TATCTTCGTAACCGACTTAGTGAACTTTTTTTTCGTTTTCTCTATTTTTTTCACTCTTTGTTCTCTCTTTATTATCTGTTTATTCTCTCTTTTTTTTATTTTTTCACTTTTTTTACTTTTTTTAACCGAAAGAGCATGTGACTTCCTCTACAGCATGTGACTTAAGCTAAATAAAACACAGCAAGTATCAGTTTAGTAAGAGCCAGCTATTGGACATGAAATGGCAAGTTTCCATAAACGATATTTTATTATCGGCGCTGATAATCGCTTATTGGGCGCTTTCTCGGCGCTTTTTTTAATTAAACCGTTTACAATCGATTTTTTTACGATTATCGTTTATGGAAACTTGCCCATGAAATTAATCTCTGCAAAAGAAATTAGCATCAAAGGAGTGATACTCTGTGGATAAAATGGCTATTTTAATAAAATATACGAGCCATTCAGTAATTATACTAAAACAAATCATTATAATTATTTAAACCCGTATCGGATTCGGAATTCAAAGAGTTGGGAAAACTTCCACCTCCGAAGCACTCTACAAAAAGAAGGCTCCAGTTTAAGTAATGGAAATCGACTCCCAAGGTATTAATTTTAGATTAATTAGGTTAATTAGATTATCAACTACTTGTCCACGTTTTTGTAGTATTAAGATCATTCCTTGTTAAAGTTGTACGTTCTTAATAGTTTATTAATTCCTAGGTAAATATTACGGTGACCCCTATCCAACCTGCTCTGCTTGTCCTTACCTGAGCATCACGCGTAATATTTCCTCGTAAGTTTTATTGACTCCTATTTGAGAATTTCCTAGAAGAGTTGTCATTTTAACAGGCGCTGAGTACGGAAATAAGATAACAACTAAAGAAAATTCACTAGAAAAATTGTAGCAGCTGCAGCCGAACTGCAGCCAAACTACAGTCAAATGAAATTAGTATAGTAGATAAAGTAATACAGCTGAAAAAGTATAACTTTTAAATGTTTAAGGGTCGTCTTTAATTCATTATTTTACTGACAAGAAACAGTAAAAACGGGCACTTAAATTCCTTTTACATGTCTAATTTGTATCTTCTTAAGAATATATCCTTTTTTCATCCTGGTAGTATCTTTTTTCTGTTAAAAAAATGTTTCTCCAGTGAACTGTTTTTTTCTTCTTTCATATTTCTCTATTTTTCTTGTCTATTTTTCTGCATTTTGTTTTCTTTTTTTAACTAGAGTAATTATTTTTTGTTATTGCATTTGTTATGTATGTAGTTTCGTGGGTAGAAATGAATTTGTTCAATTCTGGTGCTAATAATATTATTTATATATCGTTTGTAATACCTAATAATTTTTGAAATTTAGTTCATAGTTTATATTGGCATATGAGTAGCGAAAATTAGTAGCGACTGGGTGCAACAACACCAGCTTCAAGCTCTTTACACGACCATAACCAGCCACTGGGAAAATCTCCGCAGTCAAAATAACAAGGACGAAACTAAAGATTACCGGAGTAAGGCTGTATAATTAGGAGAATTGTTCTCATAAAAACAATGCATTAAGTGACGAATTTATAAACAGCAGAAGATAGACACCTATCACATCAGTAACCAACATTTAAATATTATATAATTAAAATAATATGTTATAATTATCCCATATCCAAAAACCCGCATTCTCGCATTCTAAGAATGTAGGAAATTTTTAAAAGTAGGAAATTTTTGACAAAAAGTAGGAAATTCGAGAGCCAACTCTGAGAATTTTCGATAATATTTCAGTAGGAATTTAAGTGAAAGAGCAGACTAAAAGTTGCTGGACCGTTATTTAAATGTCCTCAGTCAGGGATCCACTGATCCAGTCTATCAAATTTCGTTTCACAGACCAAAGTTTGTTGCTATTAGCTACAAAATCTGTGCATCAAGTAACCACTAACCAGATGCTAATTATTGGGGCATTTTCGCGTACACGACATAAATAGTTGTCATTATTACTTTATTAACATTTTACTATCTACTTATCTAGTCTATGAAACCGGATATGTCTACAGTGTCACCCGATATCTGTATTGGCAAGCAGTAGCATATACACATCACGTCTTCAATGTGTGTATCACACTGCACACACCCAGCCCAAATTCGTGTGGCGTGAGAAAATATCAGAAAAACAGATTAGTTAAAACGCCCTGGCGTTTTAACTAATCTGTACGATGATGCTAGAATGGGCGTGAGAATTGGACTTTTTCTAGTTTTTTAATTAGTCGCTCTGCCCGCTTGCTTTTGTTGCTTACATTGGGTTGTTGAACTTCCTATTAATCATGAATCGTCCAAAGTTCCATCACCATGTTCTGCTGAGGGTGAAAAGCTTGTTCAACAGGTTGCTACGAGAATGGCAAGAAACCAATCTTTTCTAAAAACCACCCATGGGGGGATGGGCCCGGGGCGGCTATAGAAAACTTCTGCAAATCCCAATATAGACTACCATTCCAGTTTTGATAATAGCATTATCAGTCATGTAATGTTGTGAACGGTCTTCAATGCAATTGTAATAACTTTATGTCAGGAGTTCAAAGAACATTATATAGTATTATGAGTTGATGTAATACGTCTAAACATGCATAATGCATAAGCATTCTTTGTTGCGTTTCCTATCTTATTTAAATAGTAAATTATACTAATAGTCATTATTATATTTTTGGAAAATTTAAATTCCTTGTTTCTTGAATATTTGGTCTCATACTTGCTTCCTTCTCCAAATTCCCTTAACCCTGTATTAGTTTATAGCTTGAAAGCAGAAAGTGATGGTAGTAGATGAGAAAACATTTTTGCCAAAATTATAAACTCTTGATACTTCATGCTGTCTCCTATTTCGTGCTTTAGTTAAGCCAAGTGTTTAGGGATTCTAGAATCCAGACAATTTATCCCAATAAAAATTGAAATCAGAAAATAGTATGCTAAAATCGTTCTCCATTGTCAGATTCGTTCCAGGAGGCCAAATCTAGTTTAAATTTCCGAAATTTTCGGGGGCTTCGCCCCCAAAAGTAACCTAGGATTATCTATTAAAAAGCATTCCGAGCCCTAAAAAAGTAAAATTGAGAATCTGGAATCCGCCATGAAAAATCTTTGCACCGCGCGAATACAAAGACTTTTTATGCGAGCGAAGCGAGTGGGCCACAGAAAACGAAAAAATTGAGAATGTAGGAAATTAAAAATTTTTTGGATATGGGATAATTATATTAATTAACACGTTCACACGGAATATTAACCGTTTTATTGTTTCACTAATTTATTTGCTCGACAATATAATTGTCGGGTACCTATATAATACCAGGAGAGGATAATTGGAGCAGCAAAACAACATGCTCCTAACATCATATTGTATAATGTATATCATATTGACGTAGTGTATGGGTTGGTTTCAAGTTCAGGTTGCTCTGAATTCCAAAGATAAATGACCTTCGCGTTCGGCACTTGAAAGCGTTTTGTTATCAGGTGTGACAATATTATCAAATATACAGGATTTGCGGAGAGTGGTATCACCCCTGTTTAACATGGTCGTAATACAGTGTTAGGGAGGCAGGTAGTATATATAATCTGTATGATAAGCCGTTATTTTGTTGCTAAATACCAAATGTCTCGTGCACAGAGTTTGAATTATAGAAAATATGTGGGATGACTATTGTAGGAGATTAGTTCTTGTCGTAAAATTTAACCGGCTTTGAAAGCCTGCATTTTTATTATAAATCTGTTTTTATAAATCTCTCTGCCAACATTGAGACTGTATTGACCACTTGACTGTTGACGCCTTGTAGACTGTAGTGATCGTAGAGAGAGAGTCAGCCAGCCCCGTTATAATACACACCAGTTCCCATTGATCACCCAGCTACCCAACTGATTTAGGGATTAAGTTGGAAAAGATGACAATACGGAGATGCACTTCCTGTAACAGCAAAGAACACAAATACAAGGACTGCAAGGAACAATGGAGACGGAAACGATCAGCAGTGCTAAACCTGAACGTTATCTCAAAGATAATAGATTTAATCACAGCGGAAGGGGACTTTTATACCATCTCTGAGGTTAGAGTATGTAGTAAACAGTTCAAAAACGTTGTAGATAACAGTATTGCTCATTTCATAACTAACGGGAAATTTAAGGTCCAACTAAACTTCGCTGGATGAAACACTTTTGTAGGCAACTAGTTACTGCACAAATCCAGAGAACAGGAGCACCCTCACTTGAAAGTCAAAATTTAAATAGCATGACGTATTGTTGCATTTCTGCAAGTATGAATACCAACAAGCATAGCAAATCCAAGTACTGGCTTTTCTTGACATACGGGGACATAAAGTACTATGAGTTTGTTAGGAAATATCCAGGGGTCTCCAAGGAACAGTTTGTAAGGCATAAGGACATGATTTGGGATAGATATACACAGAGTCAGAAAGACGTTTATGACTATATGATAAAATCTCTGTTCGGAACTTATTTTTTTCAAGTCGCTTTTTTATAACAGATATGGGGCCGACTACCTTTATACCCCTCCTCCATGCTTTGATTTCATTTTTTCAAAAAAACGTAAAGCATTATTAAATAACAATAATGATTTGAGCGGCTTCTTTCCTTCACTGGATTGTTAGAATAAGTATATTTGCTTGGTTGGTAGCCCTTATTTTAATCATTGACCTTAGTGTTTGTATCCTTAAAGATCGTTTTAATTTAGTGAGGTTAGAATTAAGTTCATTGATTCAAAAGTCTTAGTATATTATGCGACTAAAATACTTATCCTTTCTTCCCCACCAGAGGTCACCAGAACATTGCAATTGGTTCCCGTTCCTAGCCGTAAATTCCCGCTAAGCTAGGAAGTCTGTTGCTCGAGGTATTGTTCTATTATTATGTAACCCATTCATTAGATGTTGTTCATTGCAATGTTATTCCCAAATTATTGATTCACATTGTTCGTAATACTAAGGTCATTCCCGATTTGTTATTATTTAGTTCCTAATAGTTTATCATTTCCTAGGTAATATTGTGGTGAGCCCTATCCTACCTGTCTGCTTGTCCCAACCTTAGCAGCACCTACATTATTGCCTCGTAAGTTATTTGAGCATTTGTTGTTAATTTCTTACATAATTCGTACTATATAAGTCTAGTTTAATTTATCTTTATCCTTGTTTAAATTTATCCTTGTTGAAAATCCATTCTAGTTAAGTAAGTTATTGTCATTAAAATAATCCGTCACTTGCTTATAATTTGTCCCTTTTCAGGACAAACCCCTCCCGCGGATTGTGCCTCGTTCCCAGCCGTTAGAAAGAATGTAGGAGAGAACGAGGTCAATCACGGTCAGTCACTTATAGATTTAATTTACATTGTGTATTCAATTATTGGTTATCGTTGTATTTACGTATTGTTTTATTATATGTTGATTTATCCGACCTAACGTGTCATTAGATTCTTAATTAATTATATGTCCACTTCACGTTCTCTTACCAATTCCATTTCGCAGTGATTCTAGAAGCTACCTGTCCATCGTCCAGAGAGAGAGTCAGCCAGCCCCGTTATAATACACACCAGTTCCCATTGATCACCCAGCTACCCAACTGATTTAGGGTAACGGACTTTATCATGAGATTGAACACTTATTTTACATGTTATATTGTTTATGTACTATTGGATTGGTCTTGCATTATTTTACAATCCTTATTTACTTGTTTCAATTGGTTATCTTCCAGATATAAATTCACCTAAAAATTCGAAGTCCATAATTACAATATAATTTCCTGTCATAAATCTACCCTTGTACACATGAGAGTTTGAACTGTGCCCTGAGTGAGTCTCAAACCGGGAGGTATTCCATAATATCGGAACCTGAATTTCCATACTCTAGTTAAAAGGAGCCCGTTATACGTAATTAAATTAATACCATCACAATTTAATGAAATATAATAAATAAATAATCTCTAGAAGTCATGGAAAATTGGAGCATTAAATAGGCCGTTAAGTAAGTTGTCGTGCTGAAATCCGAGTACGCCTCTTAACATACAGCACTATTATAAAGTTTAACATATTATAAGGTTACGAGATAAAATTCTGTGGAAACTGTGGAGTAATATTTTATAATTGTGACTTTGTGAAATTTCTGAGATATAAAAGTCGTTCCGCCATTTAAACAAGCTCTACTACGAGGCTGCGACGTTATGGTATCACGTGGGTATCACGTGGGTCTCACGTGAGTCTCACGTGAGTCTCACGTGGGTATCACGTGGGTATCACGTGGGTATCACGTGGGTCTCACGTGGGTATCACGTGGGTCTCATGTAGATTACAACACTAAACTGAGGGGACATTCAGAGTCTGCAGATAAAAGAGGGAAGATTAAGAATAACTAATATAATATATATATATAACTAAGTATATGTCAAGATTAACATCGCCATATTAACCTCGGCCACGGACGAAATTGACCGTCTACTGGAATCAATCTCTGGAGCTGAAGACAAAAACAGAAGAGGAAGTACTCATTAAATAAAAGATTTAACGAAAGCGCTAAATAGATAAAATATTTAATATGTATATTACATTTATTATAATACTACATATATTCATACCAAATATTTTTAATAACTTTGAATCATTCATTGATTCTACAATCTAACTTCATTGAACTGAAGATCTGTCCAAACTCAGTACACTACTAACATAGTCGGAATGTGCCCCTAAATACATGGACTCACCAGGGTCAGTGTCAGACAGTACTTTATAATAGTCCGCAAATATATTGAATATATTAGAGCGATCTTAACATAATTAACATAATTAACACAATTTATTTGGGCTAAAAGATAAAGCACTGTGGAAACCTTTGGTTAATGATTTATAAAATTCGTGTTAAAAGACTTGAAATTTTAAATTAGAAAACCTGTATTTTATCATTATATAATTATCCATTATATTATATATGCAAATAATTCAGTTATCAATCAGAAGTTCGTTACTTAGCAGGGGGCTCCTGCTCTAGCCTACTCACGGTGTTTACACTAAAGAAAAACTTCTCGCTGGTCTGTATTTTCTACATTATTTGCCTTATTATCCCTTTTATTTTTTACCGTTGATTTAGCAGCTTCTTACATATTTTGGGGACATTTAGTACGACAAAACAAGCAAGCCGGGCCTTAGCAAAAGCTGCACTTCGTCCTTAACCCCATCACTAACTGCTGACAGATGTACTGTACATTTCCATGCAAAATACAACAAAGAAGACAAGACACACTCGACCTTAAATAAAAGAGGGTGTCAACAGAAATATGATTCTCTGATAATAGCTATTTCGTAGAGCAAAATATGGCCTTTGTAGTTTCTGATCTATTCTACATTTCGTATTAAATAAAATATAATTTGTGCTGCTCTATAATCACAAAGTACAGGTTAAATATTTAAAGAGTAAAGGATAGTGCTGGATGTAACAGAGCCCAGTGATCCTCGGCGCTTAACATTTGGACCCTAAAAACTCTGGAAAACACTCCGTTCGGAATGATAAGGAATAACCTTGAGTGTTATCGATAGTACTATCAAATATTACAAGATTTGTGTCCTTCGTCCTTCGTTCGGTAAAAATTGTACATCTCAGGTCATTTTATTTCTATTGATTTCTGTCCGTTTCTATTATTCTTTTCTTTTCTATTTTTTGCTATTTTTTTCTTTTCCTTCTCAAAGATGTCTGTTATCATTTCTTTCATTATTGTTTCTTCAGATATAATGTCTTTCTGTGATATGTAAAGAATGTAAGGAATGGTAAGTGTAGGAACCTCGAAATTTAAATATTCCTTTTTAATAGCTACTTAAATAACTCAGGCTTAACAACCATAGTTGACTGATTAATTGGTTCCAATTCTGGTAGGCAAGGACGTTGTTACAGCATTAATTTGTATTTTACCTTTAATAAAGATATTACAGTAAGGAGCGTGTTGAAGATATTACAAACAAGCATCACAGACTACATTATCTAAAACTAAAAGCGATTACATTATAAGATTTAACCATGATATAAGGGAACTGATGTCAGTATAGCTTAGTAAATGTCAGTAAATAATATTCATTAACAAGAATTGCGCCCGTTGTTTCGTTTTGGCGGATGCTAGATTTCCGTTTATTATAAGTATAACTATAAATATAAGCTCCAATCAGCTCACTTCATAATAATAATATTGATACACATCAGTACACTATACTACGCATGCCACGTACAAATTGGGCTTATAACCTAATAGTTATACTATACATTGCATAGTATACATTAAAATACACTAGCGCCGCGCATTCAATGACAGCTAGCTATATACATCAAATCTCCGCAAGCAATACTTGCGCGCTGCACTGTGCGCTAGTTGTCATGGTAACGGACGGAAGTAAGGAATGACACCATATATTTAAACCCACCTACTGCTCCAAAATCCACGTTTTTCTGCAAAAAACGTCCATATATTTTGTAACCTTTCACTATTGCCTTTTTACAAAAGGGTGAACGGAAAAATAAAAAGGAAAAAGTTCTTTACTTCTGTATTTGGATTGGCTGAAATTGGACAAAAAGGCATCATACATACAAGTTACTGGGTGTTTGGGTATTCTCCACGATACTCAATCAACATAATAATATATTTCAGATGCTCCGGGTATACTGGACCCAAGAAGGGGTGCTATTGTTTTCCGACAAAAACGATGGATATCTAACTAACTGTTAACAAAGACGAGGTACTGTTACAGCAAACATTTTGTCATATTTTAACATAGTTCTGAACATGAATATGTGGACAACACAATATTTTTTACAGATTTAAGTTCAGAAGATTGGAACGTGGGGCCACATGTGTGCCACGTGGAGCAACCACAGCACAATTTCAGCCCTGGAGAACTGAAATTGTTTGTGGAAATTTTATTTTATATTTTACAGCTATAAAAAATAACAAATATAATAAGTAAAAAGTTTAACTACTGTGATTCTCATCACTATTTGAGATCGTAGCAATTTTTTTTTTCAATTGGCTCACTTGGACCACCAACGGAAATTCCATCTTATACATTTTTACGACTCGGAAGTGAATTATGAAAAAAACTAAATAAAAAGTTTAATAATATGGTTTTTATATGATTCGTTATATTATTATATGTGGGATTTCCATCAACATCGACACACTTTATTGACCGTTTTTTGTTTTATAAGTGGACACAAAATATGACGAATATCAGGATTGGTTCTGAGGATGTCATCTGGAACCTGGTTCCATAATTGTATAAGGATGTACAATTCTCAAAGAATGAAGATGCGAAATGCGAATACAAGGTCAATAACTAAACGGGCATTTAATATTACATATTTTTCTTAGTTGTTATGGACTTCAAAAACGTTTTTTTTTATTCAAGAGATCGTTAAAAAACGATTGGGAAGTTAAACTTGACTTTCGAGTAAAAGGAATTTTATCCAACATTAGTACAAAAGTCACGAAAGTTCAGAAGCAGGACATGATTCAAATTACTCCAAGGTTGAGCTAAGCTATTGAAACCACGAAACTCGATTTATTATTCTTTTTATAGCGAGAAAATAGGAAAAAAGGCATATTTATTTTTAATTCAAACAGGATTCCCTGTTGAAAACAATTTCTTCAGTTGAGATGTTCTGGATAACAATGTTAACAAAGATGGAGAGACAGGACGAATAAGTCTTGTAGAGTAAGATCACGGTCCCAAAAGGAACCTGGTTCCATGCATGTCTAACATGGAGTCCTGTAGAGTAAGTTCACAGTCCCAAAAGGAACCTGGTTCCATGCGTGCCTAACATGGAGTCTTGCGGAGTAAGTTCACGGTCCCAAAAGGAACATGGTTCCATGCGTGCCTAACATGGAGTCTTGCGGAGTAAGTTCACGGTCCCAAAAGGAACCTGGCTCCATGCTTGTCTAACATGGAGTCCTGTAGAGTAAGTTCACGGTCCCATGATAGCATAAAAACAGAGGTTTTGACTTTTAATCCATTAAGATAGCCTTATAGCTTTACAGCTGAAGCATTCAGACTTCAGAAGCTGCTCTATTGATCTTAAAGCATTTCAGATAAGGTTTATTATATTTATACGTAAAAGTACGTTTAAACGCATATTATAACTAGTGATAACATGTCATATTAGTCAGGAATATCTTTCATCACTTATAGATAAGAAGCTATACTCGGGAAATAATACAGAGATAAGGTGTTTAAAGGTGTAAGTAAATTACTGTAAGGAACCCAACCCTTAGAGATCTCTTAATTTCGGCAAGATCAGATTTCGTTTTATAAGCCCTTTCAAAAGCTTCAAGTTCCGAACGAACGCTACAACACTTATAATGTTTTTTTTCTTCATTACGAAGAATAATGATATATTATCTTCTAATACCTCAGTTGCTACCTTATAAGTGGAGTTATCAAACTGTTGACTGTTGGGTCATGTGCCAAAAGGAACCTGGTTTCATTACTGCCTCACTTGGAGCCTGGACTCACAAAACTAGGAGCTTAGTTCACCCTGCACCAATTAGTGTAGTTAGTTAATTAGTTAATTAGGAAGTTAGTGTAGTTATTTTTACTTACGTATTTTATAATTCT